CAAAGAAACAGTTACTCAAGCAGCTGGACTTCCAAAATCATATCCAGTTGCTTGAGTAACTGTTTTTTTACGATAAGGCCACACCAATTTAATTTCTTGGTTAACGGATTCGCCGCTTCATTTTTTTTCTTGATTTGTCAAATAAAAATAAAAATTACAGAATCAACTGCAAAATAGCTCATATTTTTCCCTTCGAACAGTTGAAAACAGTCCTTTTCTTACTACTTGTTACAGTCATTCCATCTTTCAATGCAGTAGTATCATCAAAAGTTCAAAATTCATTGTTTAAATTTTGAACCAGCCTGGTGTGTTGACTTCATGGCTCCTATTGTACGTACCATTTTGGGCCATAATAGGATGCCTAGGCCTGTTTTTATTTTTTTTCGCCCGCCCGCTCCATTATTTTTCTTGAAAAATCCGTTAACCAAGAAATTAAATTGGTGTGGCCTTATTGTGCAATTTCAGTAATCTTAAAGCAGATCTTTTTGGTGGCTGCAAAGACAGCATCAAATTGGCCAGGCAGTACATCCATTTGCGAGACACATACCTTTTGCCACCCCACTCAGCATTGGATACTGTCTGACGAAAGCGATATTGTCTTTGCAGACAGCAAAAGATCTAACCTGGGTACCATCTGGATTTTAGCTTCGCAATACTCGAAAAAATCATGTTTCAGAACCAAAATCCAGATGGTACCCAGGCTACGAAAGATCTGCTTGGAGTTTACAATTTCAGGACTACACACAGGTAACAACACAAGCTGTGCTGTAAGCTAAACATTCCCCTTTCCATGTCTAGGACACCCTGCGAGGTCCCCCCGATTGCGACGATTCCGAAGACTGCAAGGCCAACTGCTGCGTGAGCGCCATCCTCGCGCCCATCTACTTCGTGTCGTTCGTGCTGATGGCGCAGTTCGTGCTGGTGAACGTGGTGGTGGCCGTGCTGATGAAGAACATGGAGGACAGCAACCGCAGCATGGCGGACGACGAGGAGCAGGACGAGGAGCCGTCCGAGGGGAAGGAGTTCCGAGGTCTGGAGGACGAGCAGGGAGCTAACAATGGACAGGTAAGACAGGTGGGAGTATGTCAGGTAGTAATGTCGGGATCATTCTTTCTGTATATTGCCATATGACTGATTGGTATGTCATCCTGTCATGCGGATGGCTAGATTTGTTTCATACACACACACACATACACGATGGGAATGTTAGATTTGTTTCACACATGCACGCGTGCGCACACACGTGCATGTGCATACACACGCGCATACGCACGCATACACACATGCACACAAACACACACACACATGCGCGCAACACACACACACTAACACACACATGCATACACACACGCGTACACACGCACACACATGCACACGCACAGACACACATACACATGCTAGCACACACACATGTACACACACACACACACACTCTTCGGAATTGGTGGATAGAGATCTAGAAGTGATTTGAACCCAGATGAACTGTTGTGGTTCCAGGGTAATGGAGATGGGAAGAAGCGTGTGACCAGGTTCCACTCCCTGCCTGACAGCTTCACCTTCCCTGTCCAGTCACCTGAGAACAGTGGAGGCAGCAGTGACAATAAAGGTGGGGCTCTTGCATTCAAGGTTTCCTGGAAATGTTCCAGAGGGCTTCAAATCTACCAGTTATAGATATTGCCCTTTGGAATCATGGCTTGATGATCATACTGTGCTAAATAAGGTAGCAACCACACTAGGGCCACGCTGACTTAATTCTATGGATGACATCCTCTGAAGACCAACAAACTAGTGCGCGCAGGTGAATAAAAAAAAATAAAAAAGCTGCTAAACCACAGAAATACAAAGCTGGTATATATATATGATTGTAAATTTGCGGTAGTACATAGCGACTTTTACGTCAATCCGGCACATGCTGGTCTTGCGGAATTTATGAATCAGCACTGTACTGAGTTCTTGAGTTCCATGGAGCTTTGGCAGCCTGGATGCCATCCTCCATATGCGAAGTTACCACTGGCTAGCTCCCTGTTGTTGCTAGCTACCATGGACTATCAAGGATGACATCCAGGCCAGAGCCTCGGAGGACGTGATCTTTTTTTTTTTTTTTTTTGAGAATAGGCGAACATCAATGCGTGCATGATGTCATCCATAGAATTAACCTAGTGTGGCCTAAATGTTATAAATGATAACAAAATTTTTTCACAGAATTTTTTTGCATGTTAATGCAGAGGATATTTTCAGACCTTCAATGCATTGTACTTTTAGTACATTGTACAAGACCTGTAACATTAACTGTTGTTGGAGTGTCATATAAATGATTGTTCATGAGATACACAATGTATTGTATTTCAATTAATCTATTCTTTCAGAAAATCTGTTGCACTGTTTCTGGCTAGGTGATGGTTCCTTCTGAGCTGTACAAATACTACTGTAACAATACATACATGCACCTCATCTGTATTATCATGTCTCTCTAAGTGTGATGATATGTATTTCCTTCAGGTGTAAAAAGACATCTGTAAAGAATTTGTTACAGTTTCTTCTGTATAGTGATCTCACGATGTCAAAGTTACCACCCTGTTTGCAAAGCTGGCTTACACCCTTTCCACCCCTTCTGTTGTTGTCTCTTGATGGTCTTTTCTGAAAAAATATGCTATGTTTTTGCTTTTATTTATGTATGTACGTCACAGCATTGCTGCTTCATGTTGCATTTTGTAGGTTCCGTTGCAAAGTGGGCGGTTGCGGTAAAACGAGCATAGTGAGATTTGGTGCGTGTGTGAGTACTGTACTGTGTTTGGTTTGTGGGTAGGTGTGGAGCAAACAAACAAACATTCCTGAGCCTGACTAACACCTCTCTCTCTCTTTCTCTCTACACTAACTAACAGGTTCAGTCTTTTTAACGATTATTGCCCTGGGGAATTACATGACATATAATTCCATTTTTTTCAAAACTGGAAATTTTAATGCTTGTATGAAAACCAAAGTATAAATCTACATGTTTATGTCATACCTGGGCTACGATAAATTTGATACAGGTGTTCCAGCCCATGTGATAACTAGCGGTATGGCCCGGGGTTCTCTTTTGTTATCACACTGGCTTCCAAAGGCTCCATAGAATAAATCAAAATTAATGCGTTTTGCGAACACTGCCATGATTACACTTTTTGTTTAGATAAACCAAATTTTGGCACATTTTGCATTGAACTGTCTGTTTCCTCGGGTGTGTATGACATAAATAAAATACAACACGGTGTATTCCACATCACCCTTGGTCCTAGCCCTCCAGCGGATCGGATCTCCCTCCGGCCTTCGGGCGATCCAACCCGCGGTGGGGCTGGTACCTTGGGCGATATGAAATACACCACGTAATATTCTATATACATGTATAATATCATACAACAGATTGAAATGAAAGTTGAAGATTTCCCTATCACATGTACTTGTCAAGACCATTTCCAAAGTAAATGTGTGCCACAATGTTTCTGAAGACAGCATCATGAAGTTTACTACGATTGTAGCTCTTTGAGACTACCAGTAGTATGACTCTAACCAGGTGCATGTTTGCTGTGTGATAACTTTATGTCATAGGTTCTTCCACAGTCTTTGTCTCCTGTTCTGTATTCTGTGTTAGAGCTCACAGTGCAGGCAAACTAACATGACTTTTGCTCTTTTTCACCTAGATAGACTAAGTCCAAACGATTGCATGGCTTGTGTATTCTGTACCAAGATACTGAACTTACATCTTCCTACCTAATTGGTACACAAAAATCTTGTTCTTATTAACAGAAACCTTATGTTTGTTTACTAACAGCTTTTACTAGCAACACTTTTGCATGACGGTGCCTCCTGTGTTAGTTAGAAGTACATTTATGTGTGTAACTGTGCATGGTTTAAGATGTAGCCAAGTTGTGGATGATGTTATATGTCAACCTTTGGTGAATTTTCCCAATTTCCCTTTCTACCATCAGCTATTAGAGATGTACATCAGCAGCTGTTGTAGTCTGTCATTCCCGTTTAATTTCATTTAGGTTCTTAAGTTTTACACACAAATGTAATGTTTCTTTGTACCAAAAGGTGCACCAGAGGAAATTTATCCTAAACAAATGATTGGTGCATTTTCAAGTATTGGAAACTTAACATGCTACATAACCGAATTGTATCTTACTGTTTGAAAATGAAATCAAGTTGAACCACTCTCTGAAATAATCTTTGCTGAATGCAGCTGGTAGTTTTTATTTTCTTAAATGTGCTGTTCCGCTTATATCCTACAGACCTCCTGTATACCATATCTCCCAGCAAGGTGAGCCTGATTTTCCACGAGGAGGATGAAAAAGACAACCAGTACACTGGAGACATCGAGATGAGGACGTTTTCCTCGGCCCACAACAACGAGGACCGCCTACAAGAAACCATCCTTGGCGTCAAGTTCAAGAACAAGAAGAGGACATGTAAAGACGCCAAGGACAAGGCCGAGACAGAACCTATGTTGGCCAACGACACAATGAGCAACACAAGCTCTCAAGATGCCTACAGTGACCAAGTTCCGCCGTCTTACGACGAAATCCAAGTCAGCACTCCCAGCGTGGAAGAGATTCGCATTTCAGACTACGGAGAGAAAGATCTCCCGTCGTTAAGTTGGACCAGTAGTATCGAGGATAACCGCTTGGATGAGGAGGTTGCACACTTGACGGATGCAAGCTTCGGTGACAAATTCAGAAGGGCTAGCACACCAGTTAATATGCACGCCAGCGACCAAACCACTGGGTTCCGTTGCGTGATGGGCAGTAGTGTGGACATACGAGGTGACCAGATCCCCATGCTCCAAAGGCAGGGCACACAGGGCTCCATCAGTGCACAGGACTTATCCAGGTCAGACAGCGCAAGCGTGTCGGCAGGTCGCAGTACAAACACTCTTCTCGGCAGCAGCCAGCACGTCCCCACGTGCTCGTCGCGCGATACCTTACAGAGCGACACGACTTTGCAAACAAGGAACAACTCCACAGACCTTCTGTCCAGCCCACACAGACTCAGTGTCCCGTCCCTACATGCACAAGGATCTACGTTGTTGTCTAGATGTCATAAACTTAGCAACAGTGTGGGCGTGATTTCTGAAGTGCCTGATTCTAGGGAAAGATCAAGGCGTAGCGTCTGCTCGCTGGACCCGAGACTGTTCCAGGCATTGAACGAAGAAGCGAGATCGAGGGATAGCAGCGTGCAAGACAAATCCACACCGAACGGCCAAAAAACGACCGAAAGTAGAGAAAGCATGCAGTTGCAGGCACATAGTCCAGATGTCAAACAGTGCAAGCAAAGCAACACCCAGAACTTGTTAGGTTCCCAGGAGCACATGCAAAATTCTCCTGATTCAAGGCATATATCCAAACAAGACAATGTATAGTATTTCATGTGACACCAAATTGTACCTAAATATCATACAGATCAAGCTATGAACCTGTGTATAATTGTTTTGTAAGTAGTGCAATTGTAAGATACTACAGATTGTAAAAATTGTCCCTACTGTATATGTAGAAGAGTATGACATTTTAAAACATATATTTAAAGAGTATATTTTAGAGTGGATGTATCATTTTTAACTAACATTTGTAATTTATGCCTCTTTTATCTCTAATATATGCTGTTTAGTGAGATTGAGGACCTTATGCTTGGTTTCTCTCTTGACATGACAGATGAATTTCTGAGTTAGGTTTGGATTAGATAATGAAGAAATATATCATGATCTAACAAGAAAAAGAATTAAAGATAACACAACACAGCCCAACAATAAGGTGAAAAATACAATTACATCTTACCCCAACTTCACACAATTTATATCTTATTGAACTTCATACAATTATATCTTTCAAAGTCACCTATCGCAGTTTTTAAATTATTTTGAGGGTCCAAAAACATAGATCTACTGGTCATTCCAAATAAAAAGAACACAACTTGAGAAAACGATTAAAAGAACATACCGTTACAAAGAATCTGTAATTGAAAAAGATGAATTGAATTGGTACTTACAATAATAATTTGTATATGCTAATCCATTGTGGATGGAACAGTACTTCCTTTCCATAATAAACTTTTTTCAAACGGGTTTTTCATACAATTTGTCCTGTTGCATGTAGTGCCAAAGAAATAATGAAAGAAAGACATGAGGCACAGAAGAAAAAAAAGAGGAAAGGCCATGCAGAAAAACAGTATTGAATTTAAAAAATTTGTGTGCACAAAGCCAGAATTTGTCCAGGACAAGGAGGAACAAGTTTTTTTTTGAGTGTACAAAATCAATATATCTTGATTATCTAAGTTAAACCTTTTTATTATAATTAATAGGAAGGTAGTCAGAAAAATTAATGTTCAGTAAAGACTACATGTAAGTACTAGTAATGGGACAGGAACAGAAGCCTGTATAATCAAGAATTTACACATGAAATTTTAATATGAATTGATGTTGGCATGTGTCTCATTGCCTTGTGTATATAATCATGACACGTTTTAGTGTGTTGGTTGGTTCCTTGCCATGATGTTGTTCAAGTATTATTGGTACTTTTATGTCAATATTAGTACCTCATCAATGGAAATGTTTAAAGAAGCCATTACTTATTAAGTCCTTGATGTGATTTTTGTTCAGGAAAACTTTTTCGAGGTTGAAGCTTGGAGGCTATTCTTAGATCTTTTTAGTATTACATGTTTCACATATTGAAATGGGAATATGATTATGAATTGTGAGATAATAAAAGATTGGTCACACTTGTCCCAAAGGTATTACCAACATACTAGTATTAATTGGTGATAAGTTGATGTCTGTTAATCTCCAAGCAGATCCTAGGGTGGCAAAAAACAGAGCTTGCCACTGGATACTGCCTGGCCAATTTGATACTGTCTTTTGCCACCCTAGGATCTGCTTGGAGATGTCTGTATCTGGAGCTAATTTGGTCTGGTAAAGGAGACAACATGATTGTGTACAATAGCTACAGATTACTACAATTGTTCCTCATTGTATTGACTTACACATACTGAAACTCAACCATTTACTAGTACTAGATTTACACAGGCATGAATGTTACTGTAGGACACCACACTCACAATGCAGTGCCTCAAAGCCATCATAATGATTGTTGTTTGACATGGCAGGTCTACATTGCTGCTAACATTATTGTACATGTAGGTTTGGTTTTTGTTATTTTCCATATTTTATCGTGGTCTATTATAACATGCCTTTTGCATGCGACAAGGGAGGCTGGACCCTCCTATATATATGTCTGGAACAATTTACTTAAAACTGTTTGTGCCCAAATTAATTATAACTGTTACAGACAGAAATGAAATGATACAAGGGATGGTTCCATACTTCTGGTACATATGCCAGGATGTTAAGTTTTGCGAAATGTAACATTGCCAGGGTATTACTGATCCCTCAGAATTTTTTTCCATGAAAACATAAGATACAAATACATGTACATTTTGTACTTGAAATCGAAAAGAAAAATTTCCAAAATACGCTGATGAAGGTTAGACATCCAGGTAACAAGATGCACAAGAAAATTGTTGCCCAAGCAACTGGACAGATTTTTAAAGTTATAAGTACTTTTCGACAATGACTTTTCCAGGAATAAATGCATTGTCAATTCAACATGGAGACAAAATGTTCTAGCTCCTGGCTTTTACATGCAAAAGAAACATTTTGGAGAGAATTTGAGATTTTGCCAGTGCTTACCTCAACAGACTTGAGAGGGCCTAAAGATGAAAAGTTTAGTGTGGGCATTATTTGTTTATATTAGAAAACAGAATACTGAGAATATGTATAACACTTTGCAGCATGGATGGTTGCTTCTCAAGTCAATATATAATTTTGTTGGAGATCTATCGGAAGAATACAATTATGTAACAAATAACAGAAAACTTGGTACATGTTGCCAGATATCTTGTGGAATATGAGAATATCATAATTGATGTGTTGAGACAGTAACTTAGTGCTAGTTATTTGCACCAATAGAAGCAGGAAAATCATTGTACTTCACTGACAGGACGACTGTAGACAAGTTTGATTTTCACACTTTACAAGGCACCATGTAATAGCTAGAGTTGCGAAGTGGCTAAATAGTAACTACATGTAGATGGTATGGAGTCAGTGCTTGCAAGAGGGATAATTGCCAAAATGTTGTTTTTAAACTCATTCAAAATGCATTTTCACGAAATCAAGTGCAAGGTCCATCAGAATGAAGCCTCTAAGATGAAGATTTCAATACAGTTTTGCCGTTTGAAAATTGTGTTTTCTCTTATTTTGTAAATCTCTGATTTGTTTTGCTGTTGAAGGATGGTATTTACTGGTTTCTCGGGTTGCAAAGGCAGGTCATTTGCAACAAACTGGTAGATTCTAGAAAACATGATACTGCTGTACAATTTGTGGCTCGTTTCTCAAGAAAACTTTTCCAACAGAAGCCATGCAATAAAAATATGTATAAGATCTTGTCTACTTAGTATTTTCTTGCTTGCAGATTACTCTATGGAAGGCCAATTCAGTTGTAACTAGAAAGCAAAGCAAATGTATAATTTGCTCTGTTAATTCTTACTCAAACACTCACTCATTCTCAAACACATTCATATATATGGTCAGACAGGAGTCCAAATCCCTCCTGCTATAAAATTGCAACACGATGTAACCCAACACCAGTTACCATGGTGATAAGACTGGTCCAGGTCATTGACCTTTCTGTTTGGAGAAGACAAAACTGAGCAAAAACGACGATAAATCAGATAGTAAGTGACTGAGTTTCCTACTGTAAATATAATTAAATGTGCAAACATAGATTGACCTATACTGACTTATCTTACTGGAAGTGGAATAACAGAAACAATAAAATCCACTGACAAGGAATAGGATATCCACAGAGATATTTTATTGTCAGATCCTCAGGAGCATCTTATATCTGTCGGAAGTGTTTTCCCACCAGGGTGTTCTGTTGGTAAGACCCTCCTCACTTCTTGTAGCCACAGGACTTGCGGCGACCACGTGCCCTCTCAAACTTACGGCCCTTGGATCGGACAAATGGTCTAAAAAAAAAATAAAACACAGTAAGGATTACATTTACATATCAACATTGCAGGAAGCAAAACAACTTGCACATCAAAACTATAAATCTGCTATTCTTCCATATAAAAATAAAGTTATAACACCATCAAAGTCCATGGGATAAATCTCTGTACTACTGTATATATCCTTTATCACCGAACTTTTGGCTTACAGATGGCAGGGCTTGAGTTACGTTATTTTGTAAAAGTACATGTGAGAAAAAAAATACTTGCACAATTTTTCTTCAATCCCACAACGTTAAGTTTCAAGTAGAAGGCTAGCACAGATTCTAACTACATTGTACAAAGTACATGCTGTTTCAAAGTAGTGAATTAAGGGGTAATTTGAGCCCTGGATGGTCAAAAGGCCGTGTACTTACTTGGTATGGCTGTGAGGTACACCAGGAGCTGGACCCCAGTGTCTGCAAGTCTCACGAGCCCTGCGTTGCCCTGCAGATTAACAATAGCAAATAAGATGCTGTAAGTACGGAAACTTAAGATCATTTTATGAGAATGTCAAATTTATCTATTTATTCAAAAATGCAACAAGACATTACACTGACTCTCAAGGAAGCAAAGCTGATATTAGAGAGTCAACATATAAGGACAAAACACAAAGGGCACATAATTTCAAATACAGTGTGAAATGCAAGAACAATCATAAAAACTTAACCTATGTCATGTCATGAGCACTAGCTTTGCCTTCTCCTTGCTGATGTGTACTATAGTATAAATTATTAAATTTGAGTCATGGAGGTGCTCAGAGATACCTGTCAGTCACTATTATTGTCTAATATTCAGACTGGGGCGGTAAAATATCATCATAGCAAGTTACTAATATTCTAACACATTGTGAACAAACTGCTGCAATCCTGCGCAAGCCACTGTTAGGCCTAGGAAAAAAATTGTGTTTCCTGTTTCAGTCCTGAATAAAATTAGGTCAATCAGTTTGAAAAATTTATGTCCCTTGCAGGGTCCACACTACAAAAGGCTAGGGTCAGCAGTTTCTTCTAGGGTCGGTCGGGAACAGTGCACAACTTTTTTCCCTAGGCTTTTGAATCTTAGTCAAAAGACACACACAAGTGTTTGAACAGAAGTTTCCATTTAACAGAAGTGCCACTGATGTTTCTTACCTTGAAGAAGAACAGTGTTCTTCCCCTTGGGAGCCCTCAGAGCGAGCTGATCAAAAGTGATGATCTCCCCACCAGCCTTCAGGATCTTGGCCCGGGCACCCTCTGTCACACGGAGGCAGCAAATCTGGAAATAACACAAGCTGTGTTAGGGAATGGTCTAGGGACAGCGGTCTTCTAGTCAGTTAGTCACAGATTAATAATAACTCCAACAATACTTTGCCATAATTCACATGAGCAAGAAGATTCACTAGTGCCACAGCCTTTTCCAAGTCTTTACAGAGCATAAGCCAAGACGTCACAGCCAGCGAGTCGTGGTACAGCAAAATGTAGGTGACAGTTGGGTGATTTGCCTACCGATAATTTGTATATCCCTTCAAATAATTTGTATGTGCATGATGTAAACAAAAGTAGCGATTGTTCATATAGATATGGTTGAGCTAAAAAAGATTGTTATGACACAGGAGACCCCAATAAGTATGCGTAAGTTGTCATACCTTGAGCTTAGGGATTTCAAAGATCCTGACGTCATCAGTGATGGTGCCAACAACAACGGCAGTCTTACCCTCACGCCCTGGCTTCTTCATCAGACGGATCTGTACATCAAGAAATAAGACATCATATCAGTTATTAATTTTATAAAATATAACCCATGGTGCTGGAAAATGATGACTAGACTTTCAACCTTGAGGCAAGGAGGTTGAATGACACCCTCTTGAAGTTTAAGGTTGGTAACCAGTGATGCATACCGGTTCGCTGGACTTGGATCCGGACTTGTAAGAATGTTTAGGTTCAAGTCCAAAAAAACCTAAAAGTCAAGAACCGAGTCTGGACTTATTACCATAAAAGACCATTTCACATACCCCTTTTCTTTCCAAACCACCTAAAACCTTCTGTAGATTGCAAAATCTTTGCTGCAAAATGAAGAAAACATTGCCATCGGGCATTGCCAAGTACCGGCCTCCATGTTGTGTGGCCAAAGTTTCACCCAGACAACATTGCAAGGTTGCCAACATGCAATTTTGTATATGCCATGGGTTTAGGTCCGGGCTTACAAGTCCGGAACTGAACCTAAACCTCTGGACTTGAATCCGGACCTGAACCTGAAATTGAGTTTAGGTATGCATCACTATTGGTAACACATGTGACAAACTAACAAAAAGCTAAACTTGGAGATGAAAAGATAATGCTATAAAAAATTAAACTCACCAGTCGTGCGATAGACATGGGAGGGCGGTTGGTGCGGGACATGAACAGGCGTTTCAGCACCACCTGGTTGAACTTGGCATTGGTGCGCCTGGCAAGGAAGCGGTAGAGCTGCGGAGAAAGGCAAAATGAAGTGTCATCAACCTACAACATTACTAGTAATACTATTATAGCATTGGGCTATGGGAAATTTTTGGCTATAATATGAAACTTATAACTATACTTTGTAACTTATTGGGACTAAATTATATTCATAGCTGGGTAATACTAATAAGTAATAGTATGGAATTTTGCCACCTGGTACAACACATACAACCAAAATCTCTTCAAATCGCAGAAATAAGGAAACTGAATGATCGCTACTAGATTATTACGGTAACATAAAATGTATCATTGAGATCAGACAGTGTGACAACGTGTG